GGACGCCTGGGTGCCGCGTACGGACGTTTTAAAAAAATATGCAAATTTTTTGGTGGGAAAGCGATCCCGGGAACCACACGAGCTAAGGGGCTGAAACTTTCTAGGGATATTCCCCGTGCATGTACTAGCTAAAGATTTCAAATTCAGCCCCCCGTTGTACGTGGTTCTCAGGTAAGGGCGTATGAAAGTTTTAGGGGAAAATTGCTAACTCGGGTACCAGGAAAGCTAGAAAGCTAAAATTTTGGAGGGGTGTTCGCTATCGAAGTACAACTGAAATATTTCAAACCAGCCCCAAGCAATGCATGGTACTCACGTAAGGGCCTATGAAAGTTTCTGCAGGAATATTGCTAACTCGGCAATCAGAAGAACTAGAAAGCTGAAATTTTAGGTGGATATTCCCTGCTCACGTGCAATTTAAAATTTCAAATTCAGCTTTCCAAGCATGTGGAGTACCCAAGTACGGGTACGTGAAGGTTTTAGCGGGAAAACTGCTAACTTGGTAACCAGAAAAGCTGGAAAACCGAAATTTTGAGGAAGTGTTTCCTGTCCAAGTACAAATTATGTATTTCAAATTCAGCCTTGAGGCATGCGTGGTTCGCAAGTACGAGCACTTAAAGTCTTGACGAAAAAACTTCTCGCTGAATAACTAGGTTACTTTTAAAGAACGGCTGTCAAATGAAAATTATACATTTACTTTACAAAATTTATGGTGATTTATACTGATGACCGCAAAAGGTAAGTGTAAAGCAGCAGCCATTCATACAGTCCTGAGTAATTCAAGTCCGGTGCAAAAACGTATGATCGCACGGGCTCGCCCGGTGCACTCCAGCCTGAGTTAAACTTTCGCTCATACTTACATCCCGACATGGAGTCCTCGAAAAAATGTGCAAATTTCTTTGATGGGAAACGATTAATGCAACGACTTCATCCCGAACGACGCCCTTTCTTACTACATGCGAAAGGAAATGAAAACACAGCCAGTATGAGACCTACGATTAAGCTGCAGCAAGGAGCTTTTTCTGCTTTTAACAATCTGCAAGTTTAGCCCAAAAACTTACGGTCGCACAAGCGAGCCAGGTGCGCTGCAGTCTGGATTTTAATGGAAAAGAATGGAACACTTAGAATACTAATGTTTATCTTAAACCCAGGCTGGGACGACCAGGCTTGCCGGTGCGGTTATGCGTTTTTGCACTAAACTCGCGTATCGCCAATACCAGGAATGATTCCTACGCTCTAGCCCAACACTTGTGCTCATATTAGCCGCGCTCTGGCGTCATCCGGCGTGCAGGAGAAAGGGTGCTGGTTGGGATGAAGGTGTTGCATTACAGAGCCGCATGGACCTCCAGGTACATAATTACCAGTTTTTTGCATGAAGCACAGCCGCTTTTTCGGTAAATACTCGTTTTTTGAAAAAAATGCAAATTTCCAGTTCATCAAAAAGTGGAAATGTTGTTAGAGCGGTCATTCGCCAAAAAATCCAAGTGTGCAAATGAACTGGATGTTCATTTACATATTTGGATGAGCTGCATTCGTTTCCGATTTTTCAGTAAAGTCGAGTATTTCTCGTAACCACCTGCAGGAAATTTCACTTCCAAGCAGAGATCAAGACCGCACTTGAAAGTAGAATAACCCAGTGAAGTTTCAGTCTTGCATCTGATTCGGTAAGCGAAACATTCACTTCACTACAAATATCTTTGAAGTGCCCTAAATCGTGGCGTAAATGCAAATCGGTACTTATTTTAGGCATACCATTTTCAATGTGGGTGGTAAACATGCTGACAGAATTTCAGTCACGTTTTCTGACAAGTTTTTGAGTTAGACCAATATCAAGTTACAAACTTTAACGTGATCTTACGTGCTGCATAAGCGTAGGCAACAGCTGAATTTGAAATCTTTAGCTTGCAAGTGCACAGAGAATATCCTTGCAAAGTTTCAACTTTGTACCTTGCCTGGTTCGCAAAATCATTCCCCGCCAACGAAATTTGTATATTTTTTCGGGAGTCCATACGGCGGCGTCTGAACGCGTATGAGCGAAGATTTTAAAATGGAAGGATGACACACGGGATAGGAGCGTATACCAAAATTTCAGCCTCCCAGCTTTCCTGATTGCTGAGATGAAAGTGGATGACGAAGTTCACTAGCTTCTGAACACACACACACACACAAACGAATTTTCGACAATATTCGTTTTCGCTGACTGTAGGAGCGCTATAGCGCTACACAGCAGAAACGCATAAAAACTACTAGCGAAGCAAGCTGCTAATAATTTGGATTGGACAGGGAAAGTAAAGTAGTAGAATTACCGAATCCTCGTGGTGTGCCGGGTGGCGAATTCTCGGGAGTGAAGTTTTTGTGTTCGTGCTTATAATCTGGAACATATACAACCGGTTGCCACTTATACTCCGCACCCTCAACCGATCGCCCTTCAAAATATTTTAAGTAAGTAGTAGAAGACTATGATTATCAGGCTCTTTATATCATTGAGATCGGCTGAAGGAAGAGAAAACTCTATAATTTGAATATCGAAAATGATAAAGTAGTGATTTTAGCGATGACGAACACACAAATTTCTCACGGCCGTCTTTTTCAATATGAAACGATTTACTAGGGGAAATATGCATGGACCAGAAATGTGCGTAAAGACCGAATTTCCAAGTATATCCTAAGACTTTTTTTTTCTGAGGGAGATTTCGAAGTGAGTCCGGCATTTTGAAAGCCGGATTTCTTCGTTATCCTACTCCGCAATTCCTGATATTTGGCATTAAAGCCAACGAAATTTCTTGCCCAGATTATTGCAAAACTATGGGTGAACAGTCAGAATCTTACAGAAAGTAAACTATAAAGACATACCTGTAGAATAATTACTATCGCTTTCGGTCCCGGCGTCAACATTTATTGGTTTACGCACGCTTGGCCAAACATACGGTTGCTCCGGTGGTGGCTGCCAACGCTTACCAGTTCGGAATATCACTGGTTGCGGTTTTGGTTTTTCGATAAATGCTTCTCGACGCTGCAATAATACGGAATATCCAATTTTTTGCAAAAAAAAAAAATGAAAATTTAGCTTCAACTGCAACAATGTCACCATCCTTCTTTCATGGTAATCAAACAGGCGAGAAACCGAAATTTTGCGATGGTACTGACAGATCTTTTGGCGCACTAGAACCGCGAATGTCTAAGTTTTCCCATATTGCGGCAAATTTCAAATTGCAAAAAACGCACGACCACGTCGGAAATACTGGTCTGCCGTTACTAGGTTTTATTTTCCCCGACATTTCTATGCACACACCTTTTTCAAGACTTACGAATATGATTACCGAAGTTAGTATTCATCACAAAACAGTAAGCGCGGGTCAGACACAAAGTGCAGGAGGGCAGAAATGTCATAGGTTTTTTTCCAGAAGAAAAAGAACACCTGTATATTGGAAAATATCGCCATCTTTTAGTCATCCAAAGCAAAAGCAAAACTTTACAACCTTCAGGAGGTCAATATTGAACCGCTCCTTCTCCAGCAAC